TAATCCAATTGACAAAATGTCAACTACTGGTTAGTGTACATTAGTCTAAGGAAACTTAGTTACTTGTAAAAAAAAGAACAAAATGTAGTTGCCGAATATAAAGCTATGGCTTCAACTATAAGTGAATTGATATGGCTAAAATACTTACTTCAAGACATGGGGTTCCCAAAGGTCAATCCAATGGAGATGTTCTGTAATGCTCAAGCAGCTATGCATATAGCATCCAATCCAGTTTTTCATGAAAGAACTAAGCATATAGAAGTTGATTGTCACTTTGTGAGACCAACTTGCAGACATGTTTACCAAAGCTATTGCAAAGATAAAGTTCCATCAAATACTTTCCAAATTAGGTTCCATGGATATCTACGCACCAACTTAAGGGGAAGTGTTGGAGGTTATAGCAACAAGATATTAAGTAATTCCTATAAATGAGATACGACTTTACCATCCGTGGATATAGGCACCATTACGGAACCCCGTATATGTCTTCTTGATTTCTCTCCCTCTGTTTCCCTTTATTGCAAATTCTACAAAATCACATTAACATAATATTTTGATTTTACATTAGTCCTTTTACTATATTTTAGCTCTCTTTCTCTCTGACACCAAATTTTCCTCATTCTAAGTTAGACTTTCGATATCTCTTAAAAAGATTCGAATCACGTGCGGAGCACATGCACTATGCTAGTATATATAATTTGACTTTCTTTTTTATTTAATACGACTATTGATATTGTGATGGTAGAAGTGTCAATTATATCTAAATATCGATGGTTGGGCCTGGATTTAACGTTGCTCAGGCTCCCTCGGGGACCCGGGCTCAATGAACCCCCTCTCGGACAACCGCTCGCTCTACGTGTGCTTGTGCGCTCGCGTGCCGTGTGCAGATAGCTATTCCAACAGTGAGAGGATTTTAAAGCCATAAACAGGTGACCTCGAACACCTACCTCATCGCGATTGAATTTGTAGGATGCGTTCAGGCCGTAGCCCTCTTAAGATCAATTACGAAAGCTCTCCAGTTGTCCAGCTGCGCGGTTTGAATTCGGCCCCCTAAAAAAATCAATATCTCACTTAGACTCTCACTAAAAGACTGCTGATATAATTTTCTTATGGTAACCTCCTCTTAATGCACATATGGGACAGTGGTTCTAGTCTTAAAGGCTAGAGTGATAGAGAAGAAGGAAAGATAGATAGGAAAGAGAAGAATAAAAGTGAATTGATGAGGGCTTAGTTTAGAGATGAGAAGAAGAAGATGAGCTAGAAGAAGTGGAGTCGCAGGACCCGGCTCGTGACTATGTCACTAACCCAAAGAGCTTCCTAAAAGTGATCAAGGGAGAGAAGAGAAGAGAGTGAAAGAGATAGAAATCTCTCACAGGTTGAACACTATGTAACCCGGTGGTTAGAATAGTTCAAGAGTTAAAACTCTAAGAAAACTGTCTTAGGAGGACCCTAGCCCAAGTGATCGAGCGCAAGCAAATCCAAATCTCTTACAACCCAAAACACTATATGAACTGATGGTTAGAGCAACAACCCAAGAGTTATGACCCTAAGAAGCTATCTCAGAATGACCCCAGATGAAGTGATCAAGGGTGAGAGAAGAGATGAGTGAAGAGGTAATGAAATGAGAGTGATTGAATGAGAGGTGAGAGAATAGATAAAGATAGATGAGGGATGGGAGTTAGAGAGAGTGGAGTAAGAAAGTGAGAGAAGAGATGAAGAGAGAAGAAGGTGGACTTGCCTATGGTGTAGCCCGTGTGTCTGAGGGAGGGGATAAGGAGAGAGGACTTACCCCCCTATGGTATGGGTCCGTGGCTAGGGGGGAGGAGTGAGGGCGAGAGAGGGTAGGACGGTCGAGAGGGAGGGACTAACCCGCCTATGGCATGGGTTCGTGACTTGATATGTGAGAGAGAGACCGAAAGAGTAAAAGAGAGGGACAGATGACATACCCGCTTATGGTGCGGGTCGTGACTTTTGCAAGGGAGAGAGAGAGTAAGAAAAAAAGAGGGAAAGGGAGACAGGCCCACCCTAAGTGCGCTGCCTAGAAGTGAAAGGGGGAGAGTGTGAGCAAAGAGAGAGAGAGAGAGCGAAAAGAAAGCAAAGGAGGGTGGGAGCTCGGATCCGACCTGTGCTCGAGTGGAAAGAGAGAGAGAGAGATCAAAGGTGGGAGCTCAAACTTGCCTTGAGTTTGAGGAGAGAGAGAAAACAAAGGTGGGAGCACGGACTCGCCTTGGGTTCGAGTAGAGAGAGAGCAAAGGGAGAGAGAGAAAATAAGGAGAGAAAGAGAGAGAAAATGAGAGCAAAGAGAGTAAGAGAGGGTGGGAGCTCGGACCTACCCTAGGTCCGAGTGGAGAGAGAGAGAGCAAAAGGTGCGCTTTTGAAAGTTCCTTTGCATGCACCTTAAAGAGAGGTCTTGGTCTTTGTACACTAAGACTAGGGTTTAGGCTCTAGGTGTATAGACTTAGATGGGTTGAAGTAAGGTAAGATGGACGCTAGGTGTGTGGAGTAAGCTAGGGTGTTACGGAAGGTAGGGTGTATAGAAGCTAAGGTGTATGGAGTAGGGTGTATGGAGTAGGGTAGGGCATAGGAAAGTTAAGGTGTATGGGGTAGGGTGTATGGAGCAGGATTGGGAGCAGGGAATCCTAGGGTGTATAGAAACTAGAGTGTATGAAGTAGGGTTAGAGAGTTGGGAATCCTCGAAAATGAAAAGTTTGGATTTGTAAGGAGTGAGGGGTACCAAGGGTAGTTTCTCTCTCATCTCTCCTTGAGTTTAGATTTAAGATTGAAACAAAAGAAGAAGTCTAAGCTCTTTGAATTCTCATGCTCTTTCAATTGATTTTCAAAACTCTACAAAATTATCATTACAAATGACTTAGTTTTGCTTATATAGAGCATCCCCTAAACATGGGTGGATGCTCAAGAATCATTAAAATTACTACAAAATACACATTTAATGAATTAAAATAGTAATCATGTTTTTTGAAATAATGACCAAAATACCGCTAAGCACTTTTCATGCAAAACCATCACTCCTTGAGGGGCCTTTGCCATTAATAAGCATTGAGAGCTTTTTTAGCCGCTTCCGATGGCAATTCAAGTGATCAAACGTTGTAAAATCATTGCTTGCATTATTACGCATGTTTTGATACCCATTGATCGTATTGAAAAGAAGTTTTAAGGAATAACCCAAAATCCAGCCAAGTCCATAAACTTTTCATTATTCGACCATGGATTTGGTACGATCCATGATGTTTCAAAACTTCATTTTGATCATAAATTGAAGATGATACTATCACGATCGTTTTGTGATAAATTTCATCTATTTTGGTCTCCGTTTGAGCACGTTCCAAATTTGGGAGGTCGTCGAAAAATAGGATTCCGATTGCCGGAAATCTTTAACCTCAAAATTTAGTGTCATCAGGCCTCCGATCACGCTAAAAAATTATATCAAACTGAAGCTCATCGAAGCACGGTGGCAACAAACCAATACTTGCGAAGATTCAACATAAAGATCTCGAGCTATAACCTCTCAAAAAATGAGTATTTCTCTTTTTAAAAACTGAATTTTCAAGTTTCAAGCCCATCTTCTCTCTAAGAATTCTCTCGTTTCGAGCCACATCATGATGCATGTCATATGTCAAAACGAACGTATCAACGAGATTTAGCTCATGTCCGAATTTGAGCATAATTGAACTCAAAACGAGCAAGTTATGAGTATTTGAAGCTCATCTTGAAATGATAAAACACAATTTCTATCCATGAAATCTATCTAGTTCACTGAGGTTGCACCGCAAAAGGGAAAACCCACTCTTTTTTTGTAAGTTGCGCTCAGAATGGTTGATTGAGCTAAAATTTGGTATCTTGGGGTTTTTCAACGTTTCGGATCCATTAGCGGCGGTCTGATACTCTTTTGAGACCCATAAAATATAGTTGTAGTTATATGGTGTATTTTCAGCATGATAGGAACTAGATTTGAAAACTGAGTTTCGTCCTGATCGGCTCAAACTTGTAGAACGTGACGAAAGTCCTTAAGGCTTCCAAAAATACCTTCTCATGCAATTTGAGGCCAATATGAGGCTTATTTCTACAATGTTCCCGTAGTCTGGCAACGTTTTTTGCATCGGTAGGACCAAGTTACTACTGGCTTTCTCCTATGCTTCCCGAGTATACAAGTACGTCAAAAATGATGTATAACAATCGTCAATACTAAAACACATGCGCGGAACGCGTGCACTATGCCAGTATATATAATTTGATTTTTTTTATATACAATTATTGATATTATAATGGTAGAAGCAGTGTTGTCAAATTCGCTTCGGCATCTTCTTTGTTTGGATGAGAATAATGAAGCAATTTGGTGCTTTGGCCGATTCGAGGGAGGACTTCGGATTTTTTTAATTTAATATGAATAAATTAGATATTTATATGTAAAAAGATAAAAAAATGAAAAAAGTAAAAATAAAAATTGCAAAAAATATATATTTTTATATAGATATTTCTTTGTTTGCCCGAAAAGACTTAAAGCTTGGCCAAATCGGTCCGAAGTAGACCCGAATTTGACCAAAGCGGCCCAAAGCAGCCCAAATCTGACTGAAGTGGCAACAACATTTTATTAAGGAAAATTGTTTGATGCGACGGGGACAACATTTCTACATTTGCGGTCCGTTAGGTATAAGCATCCTTCTTAAAGATGGATGCAAATTGGTGGTCCATTTAGAAACAATAGAAACTAATTGTCTAAATATTTTTTAATACAATTATTATTTTTTATTTTTAAAATTATTTATTTTTCATATTCATGATCTCCATGTTAAATATTACATGTCCTTAAAAATTAGATCAGAAAATGCATCCCAAAAATAGAATTTTAAGAGGTGGCTCATTTCTACATGAACTCATAGAAACTGTATATATATATAAATTAATTAAAAATTTTAATTTTATATAAATATTTTTTTTGTTTGGGCCGAATCTTAGTGCAGTGACCCGACACGGATTGAAGCGGACGGAAGGAGCAGCACCCGGCTTCGCTTTGGTCTAGGCCTCAAATCTAAGGCTTTGGCCATTTCTGCCGTAGCAAGGCGAATTTGACACCAGCATTCCTGACCCTGTTCAACTTTTATAAGGCCATTGTCGTCCCTTAACGCCTTTCTCTCTCGCGTTCCTCACAGACCACCAAATTTGCGCTTGGGAGGATAAAAGGATGGGTCTTCTTTGCATATTGCCTGCAACAACATTTCCCAATTACCGTCTTGCTCACGGAGGCTCCTCTCTCATCCCCATCTCACTAAGAAAGAGACGATCTCTTTTACTCTCCCTTTCTTCTCTCAACCCAAAAAATCATTCTCCATTTTTCTCCTCACCAGTAAGTTTCTATAGAAATTCTCTTTCTCTCTTAGGAAATTATAGTGACTGGAGTTTTTGGGGGGGCCAATTTAATCTTAGCTGTTTGCTTTTTATTTTTCCTTACTCTGTGCTAGTCGTGATTTTCGGTTTCTGAATCAATCTCTTGAATGTGATGTTCATGTGGGAAGATGAATGCTGGGGTTGTCTTCAATTCAGAATGGTTATGGTTATGAATTATAGAGTAAGAAATAGAGTTTATCTATGGTGAACTGAATTATAGAGTAAGAAATAGAAACAAAGTTGCAGAGTTTGTTAAGTTGATACCTCTTTTCAAGAGAAACGTATGAACTTCAATGTCATGTTTCAGAGTACACAGATCGGACATTATGATTGTTTTTCGAAACTTGTAGTTAAGTAGTTTAGGGATTTTCCCTTTTACATTGTTGTAGTCAAGGAGTTTATGGAATTAAAAATGAATTTTGCGTTTCTGGTTGTGGGTTAGTGGGAGCACTAAAACACTCTATCGAACTCTTAAAATCCCATTGTAATTGGTATTTTGTGAGCTAATAGCAATAGTTCTCATATCTCATATAAAAATCTGATATTCTGAATTGCTGGAATTCGGTCTAGTTTGTGGGAGAAGATGTTGAGAGGTATGTAATCTCCATGTTCTGATGAAAATGAACTCTCAGACATAAGTCAGAGTAGAGACTTAAGTTTTCCTAGTTGCAGATGAAGTATCTGGTTAGCCGACCTATAGCATTACTAGTTGGGTTCCAGTATTGCATATTCAGCTAATGTCAACCAACATAGAAACTGAGTAGGCTTGCCATGTGCTTTCTCCTTTATTTGCAGTGATTAGGTCCTGATCGAGTTACATTGGATCCATCAACATTGTCTTCAAGTTCTCCCTTATCTCTGAGACTTGTGAGATTCTCTTGCAGTGATAGATATATTCCATCATTTTCATGATCCATTACATAACTATTTTAAGTTATTATTAGAAACTATTTTATAAAACTCCACAAGTCTGATTTGGACTCATCAAAGATTACTCGGACATGTCAGGGTGCTGGGTCCTGTTAAAAAGCTCGGGAACCACCCAAGTCTTACCGATTCCTGAGGTTGAGGTTTATATATTAAGCCCTTCCCAGTTTCACACTTGAGTCTGAGTTTTAAATCATTGGTTTTGGACATCTACCTGCTTTTCTTGCTCATTGCGAAAAGAGTGTTTCCAATCAAAAATGATTTACAGCTTATGTTTGCTTTCCTTCGCTATGTATTCTCAACTGAATAACAACAACATGAAACTTTTCTGTTTTATTTTATTTTTTACAATAACCATATTATCATTTCCACTCATTTTCAACAATCCAGAAATTATGGTTTCCCAAAGAAAAACTCAGTTAGTACACATGTATTAAAATAACCACAGTAACACAAGTATTAAACTAGCCACTGTCAGCATATTCATTGTCAATGATGTGCAGATTTTAATGGTCATTTGTTCCATAAAGTTGAGTTATCATTTATTAGAGGCTACAAGCTCTGTAAATTTTTCTTCATACTTTGTCTTTGCTAAAAAATGCACCACTTGAAATTTGATTTTGCCGACTGATGATTGTTTTTTGTTTCATGCATTTTATTCATAATTTCGACCACCTAACGCGCAAATTTCAAATTGGTCTAGTTTTAATGCTTTCAGAAGTGAAGGATGATGATGTAGAACTCTAGAAAGTGAAGAATAACTGATATAAGATCACCACATCTGGACGCAGCGAGATGACGATGAAAGAAGTGTCCTAGAAAAAGGAAACAACAAAAATCCGTAGAAAAATGCTGAAGAACTGCAAAGTATCTGTAGATATGGAATGCCTAGGTGGGTGATCCAAGAAGGCACTGCTGGTTTAAATTTCTACCCTTTTCAGGAATTTTTTGGAGGGTTTAGTGCTCAGCTAAGACTGGTGCATCTTGCTCATACCCAAAATTTAAACCCATTTAAAGCAAATAGTGGAACATGTGGAGTGATTACAATTTCTTGCAAAGTGTTAAGGGAGGTGATGAAAGAAATTTTGGGGCATGGAAATGTTTTAAGAGATATCAATGCTACACATGACATTCGTTTCGAATAATTATGAACAGGTGCATCAGAGATGATGACTTTTCTTAGATGTTCGGACTGGCTTGGGTTACTGTTATGTCACTCTAATCACTTGAATCATATGCTTCTTCATCTGTAGTCACATATGTTGGCTTGTAGGTGCTGTATAGAATGTTAGCAATGCATTAACTCTGGCATGGGACAACATCAAATCAGAATTCAAGGGTTAGGAAATTTAAAGAGAGGATTGATATGCTCAATAAATTTGGTTTTGCACTTAGAGATGAGCAGCAAACTGTTACTTTTCCTTTCACGAGGGGTATGCAACTAGCTCTCCAAGGATATGCACATTCTATGTAAAAAATCTGCTCTTATTTAATGTGGTAATTGGACCCTATATCCATGTATCTACCTTTGGTAGGCTTTTGTGACCACAGAAGTGCATTAGAGTTTGTCTAGAGTCCTAGTTGGGCAAGGTGTTATAATTGGAATTGGAGTCCTAATCGTGTTGGGTTTCTTCGTCATTTTTGGAGTCCTAGTTGGGTAATTCCTTGCAGAATTAGGAGTCATATGAGGTTTAGGAGTACAAATACATATATGAGACATCCAAGGTTTGGGGCTATGAAGGTATCTTAGCTTGAATACTAAATAGGATAGGAGTGAATTGAGGTAGGGAAGTGTTAGATATGATTAGAGCAACAATTAGGTTTAGGTTTAGACTTTAGAGGGTTGAAATTGCTGGAAAATTGTAGGTCCAGCAAGGGTAATTGATGGCTTAGAAGGGAACGAGATGAGTAGGGCTGATTTTGCTTTGGGTATTTTACGATATATTGGGGTAGAGGTTGGCTACTGTTAGGGCTTAGGAAGGGCTTATTTGATGGGGTGGAAATAGGGTGACAAATTTGGTTTAGGGGAAGTTGGAAGGAGAAGAAAACGGAAAAGGGGGAAAGGGCTCTAACTTGTAAGACAAACTATCCCAATTTTAAGCTAGAATTGTAAAATCACTGTCTACAAAGAGAATTGAGGAATCTCTCCTTGAGTAATTCTCTCTCACCACCATTGAATGAATTCAAAGTTTATTTACAGAAGATTATTGCCTGTAGATCTATTTATAGCGATTTCCAAATTCTAATCCAGCCATACTTAAATTTAGAGCCATCAAGAAAGCTTCTTAGTCATTCTAGAAGATAATTCTAGTGGTTTTAATACATATAGGGAAAAACTTTAGTACCTAGAAACACTATCTCTGGACCCATTACAACTAGGAAATACTTGGATAAAAAAAATCCTATTAATTAGGGAACCTATTCAATAAAATAAACACTATAATTACTGGGATCTTCCATCCAAGGAGGCCCAATCCTCTCTGAAAGCTCGCTCTTGCAGTCCAGTGTGGGGGATCTCGTTCCTCTGTGATTTTTTAACTTTGGAATTTTGATCCTATTATGGATTGAGATTCAGAGTTACACAGATCCAAATTCCTTTGCATCATATCTAAGGGTTCATAGTTAAACTGAACCAAGGTTTCACGAATGTGGGATCAACATTCCTTAGTGGTAGATTCTATTGTTCTTCTTGCCCTCTTTACTAGGTCTCAAGTTCGAACCATGAGCTTCGACATAATGCTAAGTAATGTCTATTTTGCATAATTACTTACTACTTTTTAAGTATGGGAAAAGTTTATTTATAGCTGAGGATCTAAACAATCAAATTAGAGCCTCCCTCAAAAATTCACTACAAGAGGTTGTTTGATGCCCAAATATCCTCAAATTGATCATCTCGACATCAAGATGCATTGACATGAGAAAAAATATGGATTTCAAGTTTTGGAAATAGTGTATTTTGCAACGTAATTTTTGGACCGTCAATTTTCAAGTTTTCATAGATCTCTCGATCTACTCTATTTTTGAAGCTTTAAACTTTATAAATAAAGATGAAAATATCTTTTAAGGCTATCAAAAAGATTTCCAGTATTGAAACCACATTTCTCGACACTATTTGAAAGTAGGCTCTAATTTAATTGTTTGCCTAGGCTCTATACAAACTGCACCCTTTAAGTATTATTTTGTTCACACATATAATTTCCAATGGCGGTTGATTGTACTGTCCCTTTTGGGTAGTTTAACAGGTCAAGAGTTACCTTGAGCTTCAACAAAATACTTATCTTAATTCTCTTTATTTAACAAAGGATGCCATGATTGTTATTACATCAAATAAAGTCAAACTGCACTCGACGAATGTAAAATTTAAATATTATCTTGTTTTTTATAAGGTTTGTTTTCTTTAAATTATTTTTTACTTGATTAAAATATAAGCTACACTTAAAAGAGTGCACAAATATTAAATTATTATGGAATGATTGGATTTATACATTTTCTAATAGAATTGTTAATTTTTTAAAATTCATTAATTATTTATAATATTAATTATTTGGCAATGTGGAACCTGATCATTGAGACTTCAATACTCTGTCCTCCTGACGCCCAAAACTGGGGAACTTTGTAGGGCATCTGCAAAAGGTTTCAAGCAATTACTTATAATAAAATGCATCAGAAAAAGAAGATGTCTACAAAATTCTCAGCAAGTGATGTGATAATGCCGATTTGCTAGACAACATGCTCTACTCCTCGGAATAACGGCCCCACATCATGCTTCAATCTAGGCCAAGAGGTTCAATGCAGCAAGGGCAATGATCTTGTCTCGATTGAAATGTCCTCCAAGGCCACTTGCATGACCCTCTCATGTGCCCTCATAGAGTGCCCCTGGAATACATAACTGGGTGACATAGTAATGCAATCACCGAAGGGCATAAGAGGGGTTGGACTTGTTAGTCCCATTACGAAGGGTCTCATAGCTCTTCCTGAAATCTGGGTCGTCCTTGTATGACTGCTTAAGCAACTCAAAACCTGTAATTTCTA